GCGCTAAGCTCTAGCAAGTACTTCTGTGGCTGCCCGGCACAGGGGGCTTCTCTGCAGCCGCCCGCCACCCGGGGAAGGGGGGGCGGGTCTAGTAAGCAGTTCTGGGGCCCGCTTTGTACCTGTATTTTATGTTCTTAAATGATCTTCCTTGGATTTGTAGCTTGCCAAACTTCTTTCTGGGCTCAGCTCCCCGTCTTTGGCTTCATAGATTCTGATTCCAACCAGTTTTTCTTCCTTTGCTCATGAGCCTCTGACCAGGGTTGCTAGCAGTCGGCCATCTTCCCAGAATCCCCAAAATACAGCTTCTTGATTCTTTCTTTCACACACAGTTTCTGTGGTATTGTGTCTAAACAATAATGTTATGACCATGACATACCTGAGGTCATCTAAGTGTATTCCTAAGTTATCTGCTAGGAGATTTTAAGTTTTGCATTGCATATTTAGGCCTATGATCCATTTTGAGTTAATTTTTGAAGGCTGTCTAGATTATTTTTTCTATGTGGATGTCCACTTGTTTCTGCACTACTTATTGAAAGGCTTTCTATTCTCTACCATATCAATTTGTTTTCTCATCACAGAACAGCTGACTATATTTAAATGTGTTTATCTGGGGGATTTCTATCTCATTATATTAATCTATTTGACTATTCTTTCTTCAATACTACACTGTATTGAATATCACAGATTTTTAGTATGCTGAAAGTGGATGGTGTTAGTCTTCTGATTTTGTTCTCCTTTCAGTATTGAATTGGCTGCACTGAGTTTTTTGTGTTTTAATGTAACCTTTAGAATAAATTTATCAACTTACACAAAATAATTTGCAGGTATTGTGACTTAAATTGCATTCAATCTATAGATGAAGTTAATTATAACTAATATATAGGATATAATGAGTCTTTCTATCCATAAACATGTAATATCTCTTATTTAGCTCTTTATTTCACCAGTGTTTTGTAGATTTTTCATATATATCTTATGCTTATTTTGTTAGATTTATAACAAAATACTTCATTTCAGTGGGCACTAATATAAACAATAGTATATTTTAATATAAACAATAATATATCTTAAATTCCAAATTCCATTTGTTTGTTGCTGTTCCAATAGGAAAATTATTGGCTGTTGTGTCTTACCTTGTGTCTTACAATCTTGTTATAATCATTTGTTAGTTCCTAGGTTTCTTTTTTTCACAATTCTTTTTGGATTTTCTGCGTAGATTATTATGTCATATGCAAACAAAGACAGTTTTGTTTTTTCCTCCAAAATAATATGCCTTTATTTCCTTTTCTGGTCCTGTTACATTAGCTAGATCTCTATGTTTGCTGATGAAGTAGGAATGGTGAGAGGAACATCCATACAGTGCTTTTCATCTTAGTTGTAAAATGTCTAATTTCTCATCATTAAGCATGATTTCGGCTATGGATTTTTTTTTTGTTTGAAATCTTTACTCAAAAAAGTTTCTGTCTATTCCTACTTTGATATCTTTATCTACTCAAAAAAGTTTCTCTCTATTCCAAATTCTCTCCATTCCTTAGTTTGCTGATAGTTTTCAGCATGTTGGATTTGATTTGTTGAATGCTGTTTCTGTATCTATTAATATGATAAATAATGTTTTTTTCTTCTTTACTCTGTTGATGTGTAATGAATTACATCAATTGATTTTATAATGTTGAACAAATCCCATATACCTGGGATAAATTTCACTTGGTTGTGGTGTATAATTCTTTTATATGTTGTTGAATTAGATTTGCTAATATTTGGGGCAGGGTTGCATTTGTATTCATGAGAAATATAGTCTGTAGAATCTATTTCTTATAGAATTATTCTCTGGTTTTTTTATTAGAGCGATGCTGTCTTAGTAGAATGACTTAGGAAACATTCATATGCTTCTATATTCTGAAATAAATTATAGATAATTGGCACAATTTCTTCCTTGAATGTTTGGTAGACTACAGTAGAAAAAATATCTGAACAATGTATTACCCTTTAAGTCGACTGTTTAAGAAACAGTTTTCATTTTACTAATCCTTTTTTTCTTTATATAAATATGATTATCTGATATATATAATTTATTCTCTCTGCAAAACGTCTTTTTTTTTCTTTTTTTTTTTTTAAGAGAGAATCTCATTATGTCATCCTTGGTAGAGTGCTATGGTGTCACAGCTCACAGAAACCTCGAACTCTTGGGCTTCAGGGATTCTCTTGCCTCAGCCACCCAAGTAGCTGGGACTACAGGCACTTGTCACAACACCCAGCTATTTTTTGTTTTTGTTGTAGTTGTAACTGTCATTTTAGCAGGCCCAGGCCAGGTTCGAACCCACCAGCCCCAGTGCATGTGGCCAGCACTTCAACCACTGACTTATGGGCACTGAGCCTGCAAAACATCTTATAACATTTCTTTGAATGGCATATTTAATGGTTAACAAATGCCCTAAATTTTTATTTGTCTGAGCACGTTTTTATTTCTTTCTCACTATTGACGTATAATTTCACAATATTCTACACTCTGGATTGGTGTGACACCAGAAGTTCCTAGTGTTATGCCATATCTAAGTATCTGATGCCCTCTTGGAATACAAAATCTTTTTCTTCAAAATCTAACTTTAAAGTTAAAATGAAATTCTAAGACCTCCTCCACCAACCTAAATTGCTACCAGACCACCTTTTGTCCAAGGTAATCTCAGAGAAACTTTTAAAAACTTAGAACCTGGCCACGACAAAATAGGAGATCAGACATGTTTCATTATATCTCCTGCTTTTTCAACTTATACATAATTTACCACCATGAGTGTTAAAATAGAGGTCATAAAACTGGTATAACAGAGTCTTTATGGCAGCAGGACACCAAATTATAAAAAAGACATAATGCTACAGAGTGTCATAGGAAGACAATGGTTAAGTCACATCTGCAGGCCATTAGTTTTGCTTAACACATCGCTTTGACTCAGTAGACTGTGACTTGTTCCTGTAAGTTGACTCTGGCATGATGATTACCTGATTCTCTTATCTTAATTTAAACATTCCTTTCTGATTACTTGAAGCCTTTAGACAGAGTCTTACTCCTTTAGCCAAGGACAAATTGAAGAATCTCTGCACCTACCTGTATCATGTAAGCTCCTGCTTCAAGGTAATGCACCTTCTTAAGCCAAATCAATGTAGAATCTACATGTTTGGTTGATAAAATTGCCTGCAATTTTGCTTCCCTAAAATGTATAAAACAAGGTTAAATTCCAACTGCCTTTGGTTCACTTAAGGATTTTAGGTTTGTGTTTTCCTCATGGCAAGGTCACTAATGCTGGCTCAAATAATCCTCAGTGAAATATTTTAGAGTTTGGATTTTCCATCAACAAAACACAACTTAAACAGAACAAAACCCATTCTGGTTAAGAGCAGTGTAAAACTAGTAAATATTCAACAATTAGTGTGGGAGGAGGTAAAATCCTCCATAGTAGAGCAAATACTTCAAGCTACCAACATGCAGTTACTAGATGTGGAGGTGGAAAGAGATGCACAGAATCAGCTGACACTTGGCCTTAACTGGCCCCAACAAACCAGTGGAAGGTCACACTTGTATTAGAAATTAAATGTGTGTTTTTGAAATTGTACTCTAGATTTTCTGGTAAATGATTTGAAGGTGTTAACATTTTCTTGATGCAAATACTGTGAGCTTCACTATATAGCTCCCCACCTTTTTTGCTACTTGGGGGATGTGCTTTAGTCTAAGAAACTATGCATTTTATATATGAGATTACCTCTCTAAAGAAACAAAATTGCACAAGAATATAATACAAAAGTAAGATTGATGTTACATCAAATAATTCTACTTTCTATGACAAGATATTTTAAAATGATCATGTTTTAAAATGATCCTAGGTGTGCAAGTCCAACATGGAATGCAATTGCACTGGTGGCTATTTGCCTCCGAACTGTGAATCACTTTCCAGAGAATCTCCTGAATTTCCTGAAGAAGAGGGCAAGTACCTATGCCTTTAGAAATTTATTTAATAAAATTCTTGAGTTGTTTCTTGTCACTAAAAATATTAGATTTTGCCACTTAAAAAGAGATTAACATTTATAATGAAATAGCCAGGTATTGTGGTGGGCACCTGTAGTCCAAGCTACTCAGGAGACTGAGGCAAGAGAATCTCCTAAGCCCAGGAGTTAGAGGTTGCTGTGAGCTGTGATGCCACAGCACTCTACTGAGGGTGATAAAGTGAGACTCTGACTCCATATATATATATATATATATATATATATATACATATGAGACAAGGTAATCAGACTTCACTTAAAAAATGGAAACCAAAGCTCAGTGCCTGTAGCTCAAGTGGCTAAGGTGCCAGCCACATACACCAGAGCTTGCAAGTTTGAATCTAGCCTGGGCCTGCCAAACAACAGTGACAACAGCAACAACCAAAAAATAGCTGGGCATTGCAGCAGGTGCCTGTAGTCCCAGCTACTTGGGAGGCTGAGGCAAGAGAATTGCTTAAGCCCAGGAGTTGGAGGTTGTGGTGAACTGTGATGCCAGGGCACTCTATCCAGGACAACAGGTTAGGCTCTGTTAAAAAAAAAAAAATAGAAGCCAAATATGCCTTCTTAAATTTACTCTTTTGTAATATTTAAATATCATGATTGGAATGTTATTTTAAAAATAAACCTCTTTACCAATGGCTTTATCTTATAGAATAGATTTAAACTTCTTCCCACCCTTATGCTTGAAACTGTGATCTCAGCTCTAAAGAAACAAGATTTGCTCTGTATCTAGTACTGTTACTATGTTTCTGACATAAATGAAACAGAAGGCTTTACTCTGAAAGAGTTTATAGGTTAAATGAGAAAAATCTATAAATTCCAATGCAAGAGATGACCAAAGAGATCCTGGCACAATATTCTGTTTGTTCAGCAAGACTTTGGTTTATGTCATTTATTTATTCAAGTTAGCAAAAGACACTAGGATAAACAAGGAATGGAGATCAGTTTTTTTTTTTTTTTTTCTCATGGCAAGTATGTGTGGGTCTATATACCCAGTGCTAACAAATGGCAGAATTAGGATCAGGAATCAAGTCTCCTGATTTTAATGCCAGTGCCCTTTTAGTAGCACTGTAGTGATATATACAGATTCCTGATGCCAAAATCCAACAACCTAGCAATGAAAAATAGGATATACACAACTACAGTGAAATTCTTTGGTAATTAACCATCTGACAATGTGAATTTGGATAACTTGAGAATCACACAATACCATATAATATGTAATTGAAATTATTTGTCCCCACTCACATTGTTATAATGAAATTTTTCTTTATTTGTTGTAAAAATGCAAACTACTTTTGAACTTCCCAGAACGTGGTTCCCAAGGTCTTAGAATGAAATGGTGTATAGTCTTAAGAATTACATTTCTGAAATTACTTTTCCATGTTCCCTGAATATTAATAAGTATTAAGAACATTTTTAAAAAAATTATTGCCATTTGAAAATAACAGTAGAAAGTTTTTTAATGTATTTTTATTTTTAGGTTTAATTGAGGAAAAAGCTTCTAGGAAGACTAAAATAACCTGGCTCCTAGGTGTCTGCACTTTTCTTGTTATTATTGTAATAGCCATGGTAGCTTTGACATGGAATTGTTTGAAAAAGTGGTTCATTAAGGAAGAGGAATCCGTAAGTAGCAATTAAAACTTTAGTATCATTTGAATCTAGGCATATGGAAGGCAATCTTATGGGAATTTTAAGTATTATATTAATATGTCTTTTAATTTTGTTAGATGGTTGTGAATATCCCATTTTAAAGATGCAATGATTTGACTGTGTAGTTTAAATAATCTTTTAAAGCTATTATACTGCTAATTGGGAGAGGAAGGACTCAAATATGTACACATCTATTGCTTCCAAATACCCTAGAGGTTAACAGAGGATGATATGTCACCTACAGAAAAAGTACTGGAAGTATTTATTAAATATGCATATTACTGTGCCCTACCATAAATGAAATATTTTAGTTCATATTGCCTCCTCATGTTATAAATAATTTTAAAAATACTCTCTGGGTAATGTTTTCAGAAGTCAAATTTATAATTTAGCCTACAATATTTTTATTTTTAAATAAATAATTAAAGGCTGGGCTCAGTGGCACACACCTGTAATCCTAGCACTCTGGGAGGCCAAGGTGGGTGGATTGCTTGAGCTCATAAGTTCAAGACCAGCCTGAGCTAGCGCGAGATCTCATCTCAAATAATAGTCAGGTGTTGTGGCAGGCACCTGTATCCCAGCTACTTGGAAGGCTGAGGCTAGAGAATCACTTGAGCCCAAAAGTTTGAGACCATCCTGAGAAAAAGCAAGACCCTGTCTCTACTAAAAATAGAAAAACTGAGGCAAGAGAATCACTTGAGCCTGAGTTGTAAGTTGCTGTGAGCAATGATGCCATAACAACTCTACCCAGGATGACAGCCTGAGACTCTGTCAAAAAATAAAAAAATTCTATCATAGGATACAGTGTGTTGCTTTATTTGTCTCTCTTAATTATTGATTCCATTGAAATAATTTGGATCATATCATATATTCATGTGTGTGTGCATATAGATGTATATTTCTCCCTAACCACATTTCATTAAAATTTTTAAAATATAAAAATAAATAAATAAATAAATAAATTCAAACACTAAGACAGAGAATAAGGAAACAAATATTGCACAGAATTATCTTGTATTCTTTACCTAGCTTTTCCCACTAATAACATTTTACATTAATGTGGCACATTTTCACATCCAGGGGATTGGTATTGATACATTATTAATAAAACTAAAGAAACCTTATTCAGATTAGCATACATGAATTCTGCATGTGTGTGCAGATATGTGTGTGAATATATGTATACTATTATAAGATTTTATGTGATGTATTTATCAATGCCACAGTTATCAAAATTCCTTTTTGAAACCTACTTTTTCATTCTAGGCTCAATTATATTTTTTCCTTAGCTTTAATAAGATATGATTGATAAATACAAACTTTATATTTAAGGTACACAAGATGAGTTGATGTATATATAAACTATGACATGATTACCATGATCGAGATAATTAACACATCCCTTGCTTCACATAGTGAACTCTGTGTGTGTGTGCGTAACAGTAACACATAAGATCTCTCTAATGCTAAGTGTACATTAATAATACAGTATTATTAATTATAGTCACCAAACTATACATTAGATCTTGAGAAATTAAATTCATTTCATAACTGAAAGTTTGTACCTTTTGACCAACATCTTTCCATTTCCACAATGTTCAACCCTGGTAACCACTTTTGTGTTCACTTGTCTCTGTATGTTTAGACTCCTAAGAGTCTTTCTGCTTCTGGCACTTAGGATAATGTCCTTCAGGTTCATCAATATTGTTACAAAAATGCAGGATTTACTCCTTTTCTAAGGCTTAAAAGTATTATATTATTATACACACATATATTGATTAATCTTTTTTTTATTTTTATTTACATTTTTATTAAGTCATTTGTATATAGATCATAAATACATTTATGCCATTATGGGATTCATTGTGTTGATTATTTGTACAAATTGGAGTGCTTACATCCTACTGATCAACATAGCCTTCACCTCATTTACCCAATTACAGTGTTAAGACATTTGTGTTCTACACCTGATAGATCCAACGTGTACTTGCAATATGCTCCATAGGTGTGGTCCCTCTATCATCTCTTGATGGACATTTATGTTATCTCCATATATTGGTTACTGTGAGTAAGAATTCAATAAACATCAGAATGCAGGTATCTCTTTGAGATTCTGATTTCAATGTCTTTGTATATATATACCTGGAAGTAGTATTGCTGGATAGCTCTTGTTTTAATGTTCTGAGAAACTTCCATACTCTATCCTTAGCATCCATATCAACTTACCACCAACAGCACAGAAGTGTTTCCTTTTCTCTACATTCTTGCCAAAACCAATCTACACTCTTTCACACTTTCTCTCTCTCTCTCTCTCCTCTCTCTCTCATTCTACACTCTTTCACACTTTCCCTCTCTCTCTCTCCACACACTCTTTCTCTTTCTGATAATAGCTGTTCTAACAGGTATGAGGAGATATGAGATGACAAATCATGTGCTTTTGATTTCCATTTCCATTATGACTCATGATGTCTATTTTTGGTGTCTATGGCACCTTTTGTCTTTTTTTTTTCTTTTTTTTTTAGAAATGACTCTACAGGTTTTTTGCCCATTTTGCCCATTTTTAAATGTTTACTTAGTTGTTTTTCTATAAAGTGGCATGGATTTCTTATCTATATTTTGATAATTACCCCTTATTGGATAAGTGATTTGTAAATATTTTCTTCCATTCTATAAATTGCCTTTTTATTTTCTTGAATATTTTCTTTCATTCTGCAAGTTGCCTTTCTTTTGAAGGCAGTCAGAAACAGACATTCTGATTGTTTCCTTTGCTGGGAAGAAACATTTTCATTTGATAGAGTTCCACTTGTTTATTTTTACCTTTTCTGTCATACTTTGCCTTTGCTGTGAGTTTCTTTGTTAGGAGATATTTTAATATTAATTTAAAATTGAAAAAATAATAATTTGTGGGATACATAGCAATGTTTTGATACAGATGATGTGTACTGAATAGATCACAGTAATTGGCACACCAATCATCTCAAATATTTATTATTTCTTTGTGTTTAGAATATCCAATAGCCTCCTTCTAGCTATTTGTATCTGTTATAATACATTATTGTTAGCTATGGCCACCCTACTGTGCTATAAAAAACTGGAATATATTCCTTCTATCAAGGTGTACTTTTGTATCTTTTTTTTCATGGAAGGAATTTTATTTTTTTAATTAAATGATAACTATGTACATTAATGCACTTCTGGGTTACAGTGTGGTGTTTTCATATAAAATATGAAATATTTTCATCAAACTAGTTAACATAGCCTTCATGTCATTTTCTTCCTTATTGTGTTAAGACAATATTCTACTCTTGGAAAGATTCACTTGTACCCTTGAAAGATAAACCATAGACGTGATCCCTCCAATAACCCTCCCTCCACCCATTCCTCCCTCCCTTCTCCATCCTGCCTCCCCATATACTTAGGCTGTTATTAGGTTATAGATTTCATATGAAAGCTATAAATAAATTTCATAATAGGGCTGTGTACATTGGATACTTTTTCTTCCATTCCTGTGATACTTTTCTAAGAATAACACTTTCCAGCTCCATCCATGTGAACACAAAGGACATAAAGTCTCCATCTTTCTTCATGGCTGCATAGTATTCCATGGTGTTCATATACCACAGTTTGTTGATCCATTTTTGGATCAATGGGCATGTGGGCTTCTTCCACAACCTGGCAATTATGAATTGGCTGCAATAAAAATTCTGATCATATATTTTTGTTGTAATGTAATTTTTGGTCTTCTGGGTATATACCTAATAAAGGAATTGCAGGATCAAATGGCAGGTCTATTTCAGCTCTCTAAGAGTTCTCCAGACATCTTTCCAAAAGGAACATATTAGTTTACATTCTCACCAGCAGTGTAGAAGTGTTCCCTTTTCACCACATCCACGCCAACATCTCTGGATTTGGGATTTTGTAATATGGGCTAATCTTACTGCAGTGAGGTTATATCTCAAAGTAGTTTTAATTTGCATTATTCTGATGATTAAGGATGGTGAGCATTTTTCATATATCTATAGGTCATGCACCATTCTTCTTTAGAGAAAATTCTCTTCAAGTCCCTTGCCCACACTGATATGGGATCACTTGTTCTCTTCTTGCTAATATGTTTGAGTTCTCCATGTATTCTGGTTATTAAACCTTTGTCAGAGACATAACCTGCAAAAATTTTCTTCCATTCTGAGGGCTGTCTG